TATCCCTTTGAATATTCAAGAAGCATACAGAACACCAAACAGACTGGATCAAAGAAAAACATCCCCTCGCCATATAATAATCAAAACACAAAATATACAGGTTAAAGAAAGAATATTAAGAGCTGCAAAGGAAAAAGGCCAAGTAACCTATAAAGGTAAAACAATCAGAATTACACCTGACTTCTCTATGGAAACCATGAAAGCCAGAAGGTCCTGAATAGAGGTACTTCACAAACTAAGAGACCATGGATGCAAACCCATACTTCTATACCCAGCCAAGCTAGTGTTCACTATCAATGAAGAATCCTTAAATGAGGACAAACATCTTAACTTTGCTTTGAAGAAAAGGCGAGGCACACAATTTTGGAGAGACCATCACTCATGGGAGGCAAAGTCAGATTTTCCTCTCCCGGGTCGTTAGTTTTATTCCTTTATTCAGGTTTTCATAGTGAACCAAAGAGCTCACTGCAGATACATATGGGCACATGGTTAAGAGTTACTTACTGGAGTGTTGGTGACTCAAGGTCAGCCATATCCCTAGGAAACCAACCTTAGGCTGGATGCTGGATGACTCATGAAACTGCATCCCTGGCATTCCCAGCCCAACTGCCCTCCACACCATAAAGTGTCTCCTCTCTGCAAGCAGTGGCTTTGTGTTATGTTGTGACAGAGTAGGGGTTTGTATACTACATGTTCACTGAAGCCCAATCACTGTACAGGAATGACGGGTTTCATAAAGGTGTGCTCACCTCTCTTTCATGTACTACAGCCATATTCACTCTCATCCTTCCTCAGTACCCTCCCTCTAGTCCTCCTCTATTACCAAGACAGTGTCTATTCAACCTTCATGCCACATGACCATACTTCACCTCCAGAGTCAGCCTCTACTACTCAAACATTCCCTTCTATTGGGCATTGCCTGCTTCTCCCCAGTCTCCCATCTGAGTTCGGGTGATATCATTTTATGGATTTATTTATAATCTGGGATCCTCAAATGACAGAAAACGGGTGACTGTCATCTCTGGTGCTGGCTTATTTCTCTAAACAAAAAAACTCTCCATTTATATCCATTTCCCCAGAAAAGGGCAGAAGTTTCTGCACAAAACCACAATGTGTCTACCTCCTGGGTCAGTCCAAAGTTCCTTTAAGACATCACCTGGCCTCCTACACGTTTGATCCTGAGGAATAGCTGCCCATCTCACTGGTATCAACCACCGGATTGTTTGCTGCTTCGAGAAGAAACGAAAAACCTTTGCGAATGAAGTGTGTTGTTCTCATCATGTCACATGGGAAACAGCTTCAGTCTGGGGTCCAATGAGTCCATCGCCAAGGGCAGTTTTAAAGTAGTCTTCTACGAACTCATGGCCTGTAGGGATAAGCCCTCCCCTTGGGGGCGGGCTGCCCTCAGGCGTATGTTTACTGATATATTGTGCGGGCAGAGGCTGCGCGCTCCTTCCCTTCCTCTCCTGTCTCCACTGGCTACTCCGCTGGAACCTTGGTTTCGTGAGTCTGTTTTTGTTATTAAACTTGTTCAAATACCTAGTATCATTGGTGCTTATTAATCCAACTGCTGCATTTGGCGCAACAATGTGGGGGCACATTTACCCCCTCTGCTCCTCCTTAGCCCGCAGCGCCTACAGCAGGTCCTGGGTGGACGGGATCACCACAGTGCCGGCCTGCCCGCCCGCCCGCTCTAGGCCCGCAGCCACTACCACAGCCACCAAGCCCGCGGCCGCCATTTCCGAGCCGACAACTCTCCCGCTCTAGGCCCGCAGTCTTGCCCGCTTGTCGCGGTCGCCAAGACAACAGCGCACCTCCCCCACACTGGTCCTAGGCTGCCATGGTCTGGAGCTGCTCGCAGCCAGAGCTTTGTTCCTCTCGTAGCGCCAGAGGAGTTAACACCTGCCTCTCTGCCTTGACGTTTGGAACTGAACAGGGAAGCTTAAATATTTGCGGTTTTACAACACAAACTGCCACATATGGCCCCGAAGGGGTCACTTTGAATAAATTTCGGTCTTGAGGTTCATTTCAGATCAACTCTCCACGTGGATTCAAGTGGACTCTTTCGCCACCTCTGGCAGGAACCAGTCATTACAGGTAAAAAAAATATTTTTTTTTCCTTTTGTAAATAAAATGTCTGACAATATCACCGTTCCCAACTTCAATAACCTTTTTGAGTGTGCCATGTGGGAGATCCTACAAGAGGTGTCTAGCACCCCACATCTATGGATCCTTCTG